AGCCAGCATGCTGGCTGGGGAATTCTGGGAGTTGAAGTCCACACCTCTTAAAGTTGCCGAGGTTGAAAAACACCGCTTTGGAAGATCAGATGCGGCTTATCAATCACATTTGAACATGACAAGAGATCTGTAACATTCCCACCATAACTTTAGTTCTTACCAAGCTAACACTATGCTCATTGGGTAGAGGAGCACAGAGATCATCTTGGAGGAAATATGTGGCAGCTGTTAATACAGCATGAGTTTAGCCCATGAAAATCCAAGATTGCCCCACCTTGATTCTCTTTGGTGGAAGAGGGAGGGAAGGGGAAACACTGTCGGCCTTTCAAGATTCTGTTATTACAGCCTAAACCGATAAAGTAAAGCAGTATTTCTTGTAGGGTCTGTTCCTGACCTGGCCTACCTCAAAGGGCTGACACTATGGGTCAAAACATTTTCTACCTGCTTAGCCGAGAACAACAGGAATGTAGAAAGCTGAACGCAGCCAAAGCGTAAGATGGCAATTGCTCAACAGAAAGAAGGGCAGAAGTCAACATTTAATGTTTTCTCTCTTTTTTTCACTTCTTTTTTCTTATTTCCCATCTTTTTCTTTTCATTTTTATACTTTTATTGTACTGTAAAATTCTGATTAAAAATATTAAGAAAAAACAAAACACACAATCAACTTTGGTTGCTCTTGCCAGGATGTGCCTACTCATGGTTAACCGAAGCAAGAATTTACTCCCCTAACCTTGGAAATCATTAACTAACCACAAGGGTGACTGTGCCCAATTTGGCTTGGACGTAACTGGCAAGTTCAGAATTCAACACGTAGAAACCTTGCTCCTCATCGACAGCGGTGGCCACGAGAAGAGTTTTTCCTAACCACCTACAGCTGCTGAAAATTGAATCTGGATCTTCTTGCAGCCAGAAGTCACAGCTCCCCTCAGGATGACATTTCAACACCTATTCTTGTGAAGGAGGCCCCATTTGGCTTCCATTAACATTTATGTGTAGGTGAGCCAGATGCGAAAGATAATACGAGTCTAAGGCTTGTCATAACTGCAATAGATAATATTGATGTTTTATATTATTGTATTATTATTATTATTGGAATTTATTGTATATATCATAGCAGCCTACACTCCAGTTGGATTGAGGCAGGGTATGTTTTTCATGAATAAATAAATAAAACAGGTGTTTTGGCCCAGGACAGACGGTAGGTCCAGCCCCTGGCAGGTGACACCCATTTAATAAATGCACCAAAATGGGACTTCTAGCAAGGGATAGATGTCAGCAATCTCACTCCTGACATCACTTGTGACTGGGAACAGAGAAGGATCCTGCTGGATCCAGGACCAGAGAGATCCCCAAAGGCTGGGTTTCCATAATGTAGGTCAGGGTTCCTCAACCTTGGCGACTTGAAGAGGTGTGGACTTCAACTCCCAGAATTCCCCAGCCATCTGGGGAATTCTGGGAGTTGAAGTCCACACCTCTTCAAGTCGCCAAGATTGAGGAACCCTGATGTAGGTGACTCAGTTACTGAACAAACCGCTGCTACTGTGAAATTAGGGGATGGCAAGGCTATGGGGAGACGCTTCTCGGCTGCAGCCTCCATTTTGTGGAACATCATCTCCAGGAGCTTTGGCTTGTCCTGATCCTGGCCGTTGGTTACAATGGAGTTCTTCCAGAGGGCTGTTAATAAATTCATTAATATAGCGCCATCGAAACGTTCACAGGGTTTGGGATCTCGCTTTGGTTTGAACGAATGGTTTTTTTTAAAAAAATGGTTTTACTGTTTTGGTTTACACCAGTGTTTCTCAACCCTGGCAGCTTGAAGACTCATGGACTTCAACCCCCAGAACTCCCCAGCCAGCAGGCTGACTAGGGGATTCTGGGAGTGGAAGTCCACACATCTTAAAGTTGCTGAGGCTGAGAAACACTGGTTTACGCTGTGGCCGGTTGTGGGTGTTTTAAAGCAGTGTTTCTCAACCTTGGGAACTTGAAGTTGTGTGGACTTTAACTCCCAGAATCCCCCAGCCAGCCTTGCTGGGGAAATACCGAGATTTAGAGATTCAGCCTTTATTTTCTGCCTTCTCGAGTCATCCGGATCGTCGCAGCCCAGCTCTCGCAGCTCTAGGTCGGTGGTGTGGGGCGCCTGGAACCGGACGGCCAGAGAAGGTCAAGCACTACTGGACGGGGCCAGCTGCGGATGATAGGAACTGTGGTACCTGCCCCCCCACCACTCCAGGGGCCTGGGCCGACAAGGGCGGTCTTTGAACCAAAGCTCACCTCCTCGAAGCGCGCTGACACTCTACAACCCAGATTCCTCCATCCACACGGTTCCGAATTGAACACCGGTTTTTAAAGGCCGCTCGAGGTCAATCATCCCAAATGAGACTACCACTCCCAGAGGCCTCCGCGGTCGGGAGTTCACGCGGAGGAATGGTGAGGCATCCTGGGAAACAGAGTTCGGCTTCCGTAAGAAAGCGCGCGCTTCCTGCGGGTACCGGACTTCAAAGCCCAAGATTCAGCGCGGCGCAGGCCTTCCTGCCCAGGATGTCCCGGTGGACGCCGCGGGCGTCTTGATTCCGAAGGCAGGAGTGCGCCTGCGCGGCACCCTCAGGCGGTCGAAGATGGCGTTCGCTCAAAAGCTGTACCGGTTGGTCTTTCGTCGCACCTCCACGTTAGTGTTCACGGTCGTGGTGGGCGCGGTGATTTTCGAGCGGGGCTTCGACCAGATCACAGATAATATTTTCTACCGACTGAACGAGGGGGTAAGTCAGCCTGGATGGGCGCGCAGGCCCTAGCCGGGGGCTTGCGTGAAAGGCGGGCGGAGTTGGTTGAAGGTCAGGCGGGGCCGGCGCCCACTTGAGCTCGCGGCTTCGGCCCGTCGCGCTGCTTCTCCAGCAGCTCGGTTCTGCTTCCAGGCGCAGGCCAGTCTTTTCGGAGAGTGGGCGCTGCCCTGCGGCCTGGCCTTCTGGGCTGGCGAGCCGAGCGCTTGCGGCTCCTGGTCGCCGCGGCCCCGCGTCCCAGCCCCCGCCCGCCTGGGGGTGGCAGG